GAGTACTCCGGTTTCTTCCCACAGACCAAAAACATGCATGTTAGGCTGATCGGTAACTCGAAATTGTTCCTAGGTGTAAGTGAGAGAGTGAATGGTTGTTTGTCTCGTTTGTCTCTATGTGTCCCTGTGATGGACGGGAGACCTGTCCATGTTGTCCCCCACCCCTCGCACAGTGATGGCTGGACATGAGCACCAGTGACCCATGTGACCCAAAATGGAGGAAGCAGGTAAAAGATAATGGATGGATGGATGGATTTAGCGCCTGTGTGCAGCCCACAGCTGTGGAAGAAGCTTCTTCCTGCAGCTGATCAGCTGTTCTCCATGCAGAGTGGAGGACTGGGCGTGGCCGAGAGTGCAGCATGAGGCAGAGAGCTAAAACCATGACATTCTGTGCTCTTTTAGAGCATTTAGAGTTTAGAAACATTGTTTAGAATATTGCAAGAGTGTGGAAAGGGGTTTAAACTGCTTAATATATATAAATACTAAAATAAACTACTACTTACTACTTGTACTACTATTCCTACTTTGCGGTTTTTCACTTATCGAGAGTCTTCAGGGTACGGATCCCCCATGCAAGATCGTGCAAGATATTCACATGGGTAGGAGTTACACTGTGTATGAAAACAGAGGTAGTATTTTTTTCTTGCCCAATGTGGCACAGAGTGACAACTCCTGGCAAGCAAAGGAAGTAATTTAATCCATGACTAAGTACGAAGGCAGAGCCAAGGGGTGGCCAATGGTGGCTTTGGCCACCACAAATTAATCTCAGCCACCCCAATCATTTGAGGAAACTATACAGTATAGTACTATATGTACAGTACCTGTAGTTTAGGCTATATATAGTATAGGCAGTGTCAGGAAGGGCATCTGGCGTAAAACCAATTGCCAAATATGTCATGTAAGTTTGCTCACTGTGGTGAGCCCTGAAGAAGTGTGCAGCCGAAAGAAGCTTACTTACTACATATATATGTTTCTAATAAGTCTCTCTCTCTCGCTCTCTCTCGCTCTCTCGATATATATATATAAATCCAAGAAGGCAGCTGATATATATATATATATATAAATATATAAATCCAAGA